CTTAAAAGAGACTAGGTGTCTCATTTCCTACCAAAACCATTCCAAACCAACTCGATCATACAAGATACTGATAATGAAGCATAGAGAAGCAGAAAATGGGGAAAACAGAGCGGTAACTCATGAGACGACGGGTCGGGTCATCTCAAAGAGTACGATAGAAGGCTAAACACTACAAGATAGAGTAAAAAAGGAGACTCTTCGGCCTGCGGACGCGGCAGATGTACCTCAAAGTCTCCGTAGCTCTCCCTACCTCAAGGATAGTGCGCCTGGGTGGAGGTACCTGGATCTGCACATGAAAAACATGCGCAGAAGGGGCATGAGTACACCACAGCGGTACTTAGTAAGTGCCAAGCCTAACCTCGGTCGGGTAGTGACGAGGCAGGTCAGGGCCCTACTGAGATAAAATATAATAATAAGCCTTGCAACAGTATGAAATGAACAGAAATAATGAATACAACTATGAAGCAAGACAGGTTATACAAAGCAACAAATAACACACAAAAAATAAGGTAACGCAGAGTAAAGAAGCTCAATATCAGTACCAACAATGAGGATCTCCCAGGATACCGTCCTGTAGTCCATTTTATCAACTGTCCGAGGATCTCCCGGGATACCGTCCCGTAGTCCATCTATCAATGTGCAGGGGGATCTACCAGGAATCTAACCCGTAGTCTCAAAGTAAAAGTGCAGGGGGATATACCGGGAATCTAACCCGTAGTCCCAAAGTAAACAAACAAGGGGGAACTACCGGAATCCCACATCCGTAGTCCCAATGTAAATGCGCAACCACAACCAGAGGATATTCAGAAATGAAGTACAAAAATACAAGCAACAGGTAGTACTAGCCTAACATGCTTCACGTAGTACAATAAAGGCAACTTAAGCAAATAGGCAATTTAAATCAACTAAGCAAGCTTTTCTGAACTAACACAGGCTATAATTGCAAGTAGAATAAAGTACATACGAAAAAAACTCAGTCTCGATATATTAAGTAAAAATCGGGTTTTCAACAATTAGCTCAAGTATGCGCTCGTCACCTCACGTACAAGGCATTCAATTACCAAAAATCATATCCTAAGGGGAAAGGTCCCCCACACAAGGTTTAGAAAAGCCATTTATCTCGAACCGGCTCAAAAATCAACTAGAAACCACGCCTTTACCACGAGTATCCGACTCCAAATGGCTCAAATCTATTCAATGCAATTACATATCGTAAATAACATCTCAAGCAACTAATTCTACTATTTAACTCAAAGTTAAGGCGCAAAATTAGGTAAAATGGCCAAAATGCCCCTCAGGCCAACGTCTCGGAATCGGATAAATTTTACATTTTCATAACCCTCGTACTCTCACGAGTCTAACCATATAAAAATCTCTCAAATGGAGATCAATGATCTTCTCTTCAAAACCCTCTCAAAATCGCCCTCTCCCGAGCTCCAATTTTATTTTTCTAACTTTTGAAACTAAACCCTTAAATTTCATATTTCAGTCCAGTGATTTCCACTTTTGCGGTCAAGGGACCGCACCTGCGGTCCCGCTTCTGCTGAACATGTGCCGCTTCTGCTGAACATGTGCCGCTTCTGCGGCTTTCACTTAAAGGCCAAGATTCCGCACCTGCGGTCCAAATCTCGTAGATGTGGATCTGCTTCTGCGGAAATCCCACCGCATCTGCAGAAACTGATGAACTAGCCTAAACCCGCTTCTGCGGTCCTCCATGCCGCCTCTACGGCTCCGCACCTGCAGAACCCAAGCCGCAGGTGCGGTTATGACGGATACGAGCACCTTCAGCAATCTCCTAACTTCAAAATCTTTCCGCCAACCATCTGAAATCATCCCGAGGCCCCCGGGACCTCAACCAAAAGCACCAACATCACCTAATACCCTATTCAAACTGGTACCAATCCATAAAACACCTTAAACAACAGCGGAAACCCGAATTAATCAAAGATTTAAGCCTAAGAACTTCAAATTTTATCAAAATACGCTTTTGATTATAAACCCAACCAAAACACGTCCAAATGACGGAAATTTTGCACACACGTCCCAAATGACATGACGGAGCTACTGCAACTTCCGGAATCCCATTCTGACCCTCGGATCAAAATCTCGCTATCGAACCGGAAACTTCAAAAATTCAAACTTCGGCATTTCAAGCCTAAATTAGCTACGGACCTCAAAACACATTCCGAACACGCTCCCGACCCCGGAATCACCTAACAAAGCTAACAGAACCATCGGATTTCCATTCTGAGGCCGTCTTCACACTGTTCCGACTACGGACAACTTTCCAACACTTAAGCTCTCATTTAGGGACTAAGTGTCCCAAAACTCTCCGAAACTCAAAATCGAACATCACGGCAATTCAATTTAGCAGAAATAGACTTGGGGAAAGCAGTTAATAGGGGATCGAGGCGTTAATTCTTAAGACGACCGGCCGGGTCGTCACACATCACTTGAATGATGTAATCACTTGGTTGGTCAAAGGGGAGTGACTGCTGTACTGTGCTGCACTGTTTGTGTGTACAGTGCAGGCAGTCACTTTCCAGCTGTAGATAGTTGACTTCGTACTGCTGTCAGGGAAACACAAGGGGATCAGGTCCCTGTGTTGATTCTTTATCTTCTGAAGTCATAGCAACTCAAATTAGCTCGAGTCAGTTGATTGAGTTGTGTACCAAGTGTGTCAGGTTCCTTATCTGGTTCTTTGACAGTAAGTTTGTTAGATCATCAAAACATAATGCTAAGGTATTGTAAACCCATAACCGACCCATTATAAAAAATAAATCGATATTTTTCATTTCAAAGACATATACAAAACTATATTATATAAAACCTTAAATATGGAGTTTAAATCAAAACAAAAGTGCGGGAAAGAAAGCCCGACATCGGGGTGTCACTAAGTCATGAGCATCGACTACAACTGTTCTGAACATAGCAAGACTAACATAGTCTAAGAATAACCAAAATACACTAAAGGGAAGATAAAGAACGAGAAAAGCAGGATTGCGATCGCTAGGCAGCTACATCGCTATCTCCGATGATCCGCTACTGAGTAAATCAACAACCGCTACCATGGCCAGAGATACCTGGATCTGTACACAAGGTGTAGGGGGTAACGTGAGTACACCAACTCAGTAAGTAAAAAGTCCAAACTATGGAGTGATAGGTAGTGACGTACTTAACCTCAACAGTTAATAGAAATAAACTGTGCAGAAAAGTAGGCATGCTTTCAATTCAAGTATACAGCTCAAGCAGTACAGTAAATACAGATCTGGACAATGAGAAGTAAAAAGCTCAGCTAATCTGTACGTGCCAATGCATAGAATGCATGAAAATGTACCATGTTCTCCACTCTCAAGTACTCATCCACTCAATACTTTATATGGCCATCCGGCCCAGGGAAGATCCATCCCGAAAAATTTATACACATCACTGACAACAGTCACTCAGTACCGAGGAAGTCCATTCCATCCCTATGGAGAAGATCCATCTCCAGGTATAAATACTTCAGACAAGATCCATGTCTAGGGAAGATCCATCCCTCAATAATATCAACTGCGCTCACTGGGGGTATGTTACAGACTCCGGAGGGGCTCCTACAGCCCAGGCGCTATCATAATCATCAACATAACCACTGCGGTGTGCAGCCCGATCCTATAACTGTCACTCATAATCAGGCTCTCAGCCTCACTCGGTCATCACTCTCCAGTCTCACACACGGGCTCACAGTGCCATGAAACTAGCCCGGAACAATGATATGATGTGCCAATAAATAACAACTGAGACTAAGACATGATATGAAATCCATGAATAAGACTGAGCACAGAATATCAATGAAACTAGTGAGATGATAGCAAGAAACGACCACCCGGGTCCCAACAGTATCGGTGTAAAGTCCTAACATGATATCTAGCATGATTTACAGCTCATTTACTTAATCATATGATGAAAACACGGATATCAGCAAGAAAGAGTCACTAAATGGTGCCATAAAAAGAACCAGGTCCCGATTCTCACGGTGCACGCCGGCACGCCCGTCACTTGGCATGTGCATCACCTCAATACTAATCACATAACACATAGTTTGGGGTTTCGAACCCTCAGAACCAAGTTTGGAAGCGTTACTTACCTCAAATCAAGCCAAAATCCTACTCTGCGACGCCCTTGCCTCTCGAATCGGCCTCCAAACGTCCTGAATCTAGCCAGAAGCAATACGATGCAATCAATATAGGCCAAGGAACCAATTTCACACAAAAATTTACTTACTTGGACACAAATCCCGAAATTCACCCAAACTCGGCCCCCCGGGCCCACATCTCGGAATCCGACAAAAATCACTAAACTAGAAAGCTCATTCACTCACGAGTCCATACATATAAAATTCATCAAAATCCAACTCCATTTGACCCCTCAAATCCTCAAATCAAACTCTCCAAGATCTCAAGCCCTAACCCCTCATTTTCACCCCTAATCTTCACTAATTACATTATTAAACAACGGGAAATCACCACATATACGAGTACTAGGGGCCAAGCAACTTACCTCACCGATACTCCCTTGAATCCCTCTTCAAAATCACTCCCAAAAGCTTTAAAACCGACTAAAAATGGTGAAGAATGGACCAAAATTGGCAAAGTGTGCAATTTACACTTTATTCCCAGTGATACCGCATCTGCGGTCCAACTGTCACTTCTGCAACGCCGCACCTGCGGAAGATCCATCGCAGGTAGGGATCCCACTTACTCCCTCAAAATCCGATTATGCGGTCGAAATATCGCACCTGCGGGCCTTGCCCGCTTCTGCGGTACTGGCCATATTCCCCTCTTCCGCATCTGCGCCCCAGGTCTCGCACCTGCGGCTCCTTCCTACCTCAACCTTGGCTGCATTTATGGCTCCTTCTCCGCTTCTGCAGGCTCACACTTGCGGCGTCTCACTCTGCAGGTGCGGTTATGACCACTGAGTTCAACTTCAGCATTCCTCCAATTCCAAACTTGTTCCATCAATCACCCAAAATCAACTCGAGGCCCTCGGGACCTCTACCAAACATACCAACAAGTCATATATCTACATACGAACTTAGTCGAACCTTCGGAACACCCAAAACAACATCAAAGCACTGAATTACCCTCAGATTCAAGCCTAAGAACTTCTAAACTTCCAAATTTCACAAACGACGATGAAACCTATCAAATCACATCCGAATGATCCCAAATTTAGCACACAAGTCAGAAATGACACCACGAACCTACTCCAACTTCCGGAATTCCATTCCGGCCCCGATATCAAAAATTTTACTGCCGACCAAAATCGCCAAAATTCCAACTTTCGCCAATTCATGCCTAATTCTACCACGGACCTCCAAATCCTATTCCGGACGCGCTCCTAAGTCCAAATCACCTAATAGAACTAACGGAACCATCAAAATTCAAATCCGATGTCTTTTACACATAAGTCAACATCGGTCAACTTTCTCAACTTAAGCCTTCACAAAAGAGACTAAGTGTCTCAAACCCCTCTCTGAAACCACTCTAGACCCGAACCAACTGACCAAACATATCATAATATAGCTGAAGAACACAAAAAGAAGCAGAAATGGGGAAACGGGGATATAATTCTCGAAACGACCGGCCAGGTCGTTACACGTTTATAACAGAAAAATCACTTAACTATGCCTATAGCACTCAGAAGGTTACTCAACCAAATTTCTCAAACTTTTGATTGTCAGATACCTATTTAACCCTTTTAAATTATCAACTTTTATCTTCTTTTTTTTAATATTATAATTCTTTCTCTTTTTAATCTACATTATGGACTTACCTAAAGAACAAATAAGTTTATTTTAAAATGAAAAAGTTTACTAGCATACATAATATTGGAACAATAATATAATTGAGCATAATTTGTAAGAATATATAATGTATATATAAAAATATCTTTATTTTAAATAATTATTTTTTATATTACGTGCATAGAATATATATATATATATTGAAATATTTCAATATATATATATATATTGAAATATATATATATATATATATATATATATATATTGAAATTTTTTACTTACCAGGGTCTCATCAAATGATTTGGAATCCAGGACAGTCTTATAACCATTGTAAATAGGATCCTCCAAATCTGACGAATTTTCTCTGGCTTTTTGTTGTTCCTCATCTCTGAAATACTCATTAACACAAGCTGCACAGTTAAATTGAAAGTACTCATTAATTTCCTATATCAATGAATTATATATGTAACATCAAACAAAAATAATATATATGTGCGCGCGCGTGAGAGAGACTTATATAGCACTTGCTATATAGAATATGAGATGAATTTAAGAAGCGTTTAACTTCCCACAACTGATACACCAACAACAACGACGACGACGACCCAATAAAATCCAATAAGTGGTGTCTGGGGAGGGTAGTGTGTACGCAGATCTCCTTCCCCGAAGGATTCTCACAACTGATAGTGTAAAAGAATTTTTGCACACTCAGATGATCATCTGAAAATAATTACAGGTAATTGCTCATAATAAGTAAAATTAGTACAACAACAAACCCAATAGTTTCTCACAAGTGGGGTCTGGGGAGGGAAAGATGTACACAGCCTTACCCCTACCCCCTGGAAGGGCAGAGAGGCTGTTTCCGATAGTAAAATTAGTAATTCAAAAAATAAGATAGACAACCTGCTTTCATAAGTTAAATTACACTATCAATAATTTTACAAGCAAATTCAAGAACAAAAAAAAATCCAAGAATATAAAAATACATTGTGCTTGTTCAATTTCTAATTAATTTGTCCATACCTTCAATAGATTTTGCTAAGCCTTCAAACTTAGCAGCAGTGAAATTATGGAGGTCTTCTCCTGACCAATTTGGTAGTATCAATAGGCTCATAAGGAGACATATACCACAACCAATAGCTATGGTATATAAGCGCTCGTGCGCAATTTTTAACACGTTATCAACACGATAGCTCGACACTGTGATCAAATTGAAAGTCAAGAGAAATATGACCACACCATAGTCATAGTTTCTCTTTATGTAGGGGAAAAATCTCATGTACGTAGTTGCAGCTCCTGTCAAAATTGAAAAATAATCAAATATAAATTAGCCATGAGCAAGTGCCTAAATATTAATATTTGTGTTTTCTAGTTTTCCACCCAATGTCTGGTATCAGCTTCGAAAAGACAATTCCATTCTCAGAGTTTGAACTTGAGATCAGTGGCGGAGCCAAGATTTTCACTAAGGGATATCAAAATATAAGAATTTAAATACACCGTAAAATGAAGGGGAGTCAATGTATAGTAAATATACATAAAATAAATTTTTTATCTAGCAATTTAATGTAATTTTCCGGTGAAAGAGTGTCGGTTGACACCCCTCGGTTGAATGTGATTACGCCACTGCCTGAAATCTCTAGTTAAGGATAGAGGGGTATACTTTCCACCCCGCCACAACCTTAATTACCGATATTATTAATATTACTTGGAACCAAGGCAAATCCAAATATAGAGATTAAATAACTCTTCATATAAAACTTGATATAGTAACATGAAACTTACCAATGAAAAAAACTGAGGCTCCAATGAATATAGCTCGAAATATGTGGCCAGATTCTGTGGCAACATATTCAATAAAGAATGCCAGTGATCCTGCTAATAGTGTTCCCAATCCTCTATTTAAACCTTTGCATAATGTTGCCCCTATCATTTAAAAATAATAGAAAAACACATACGTTAGGAATTACAAAAAAATTAAAAAAAAATTATACTATCAGTTCACCTAAAAGATAACTGCAGCCTACTGGTAATCGTACGTCTATAATAAGCTAGATTAGTAACCCGAAAACTAAGGCATTCATCAGGTTACCTTCCACAACAGATTCAAATAAACAGATAGTATGAAAATTCTTTACACTGTCATTTAGTGGCGGAGCTAGGAATCTTAATAAGAGGATTCAGAAAAATGCAAGAATGTCAAAACTATGATTCCGACGTGTAACTTTTATTTTAATTTTCGAACCCCATGTCGATAAATATAAAGTTTTTCATATGCCATGCAGTAGCGAAGCTAGAATTTCTCCAACAGTGTTCAAATTTTAAAAAAAAGTGAAAAGCATTCCCGACAAAGGATGTTCAAAATGTATTATATACTTCTAAAACGTACCCTATGTACACAGTGTAATTTTTCGGCGAAGGGTGGTCAATTGACCACCCTTATGACCATGTGACTTCGCTACAGATGCCAAGGGGATTCAAAACCGTATATACATACAAGAAAAAGTTGTTACTCAATTTGCGAGCATAATTTTTCGATAAAGGGAATTCAATTGAACCCCTTCACTAAGCATATAGCTTCGTCGCTACTGTTGTCAGTGTATAAAAGTTAAACTCTAACGGGAAAAAAACTTTACCTGCTGTGAATTCAAGAACAACCACCACAGTCATGACAGCCCAAATAGCACTACTTCCAAAACCTTTAAACAATGGCTCCATTAAATATAATAATGAAACCAATGTCAAAGAAAAACCAACTTTGAGTGAATGAATAACCCTTCTTGGATCATCTTTCCCAACTTTCCAAATTGTTTTCCATGTTAATTTTGGAAATTTTTTCATCTTCTGTCCAAGAATATTCATTCTTTTCTTCATAATTGGTATCCAATTAGTATTATTGTCTCCACTTCCCATTTCCATTCCCATATTGGTGAATATTGATAAGAAAAAATAAAGTGGAGATTTTTTTGTATTTTTTTAAGTTAAAAAAATGGCTAGGCCATGCAAAAATATAAAGAATTAGAGGCTATAGTTTCTAGAGAACTAAGAGAAGGGCTTTCATTGCTTTATAACATGGAGAAAAGAGAGTTGTGATGTTACTATATTCACATGTTTCTCAATAAAGTAGTTTGATATATTAAATATGTTCATTAGCTTTTAAAATGGACATAAAGTCAAAACAGACAAGAAAGAAGAAATTATAACCAACTTATGTGGAAAAAGTTGGTGCAAGGAGGTGATTAGAATTTTCTATAATCTACTATTATAGAAAAAGGAATTTTATAATGTTGGAACTTTCTTTATTACTATTATATAATAATAAAAGGTTTAAAATTAATCGGTGCAGGAGCTGCTTCAATAGCTTCGGCAGATGTAGCAAAAATAGTAATGTATATACTATATACTATCAGCATTAGTTATCTTTATTATTCTATTTTTCAGGTTAATTATCATGTCTAGGAGCAGAGCTAGAAGCTAAAGTAAGAGTTTGATCGAAATCAGTAACTTTTATCTAAACTCTGTATTTGTACTAAGAAATTTACTAAATATGTTACTAACACTTTACGTCGCTATCCTAGAATTTAGAACTCATAAGATTCAAAATCTGACTCCGCCTTTGACCATGCTAAGTTTGATATGTAAATGTACATATGTGTTGTTGTATAGGTTAATATAACCTAAAAAAAAAAAAAAAAAACTTTTAAATTGTTATAAACTCTTAGCACAATTGTGGTGCAAGCCCTTCCAATATGAGTTGAAATCATTGCATGAAAATTTCAAAGCTTTTTAGGTCACGAGCTATTTGTTGTGAAAGGGCTAAAAGTAGTTGAAATTTAAGTGGCTACTAAAGGAAATGGTAGGGGGGGAAAGAAAAGCTTTCGGTATGGCTATTCTGGTTCTTGTTTGTTAACCTAATGTGAACTATTACAAAAGCTGGCCATGGAAATTAAAATTGACTTTGTGTTCTTTAATTCTTTCTCGTGCACCTCAACTTCCCCTCTCCTAAATCAGCAGTCAATATCGCGCCATGTGTTGTTCGTCCATTTGCCCACGTGTCACATAGCTAGGCATCTTATTGCTAGGATCGACGGTGATTGAAACTTTAAAGTTGAAATTGATCTAAGATTTTGAATATATCGCATCTGTTATTTCTCCCTGTGAAATCATGTGATGAGTTACAAGAATAAATTAATAATGACATGGATATTGTATTACTTGATTAAGTGATAATTCTGCTAAAGTATCTTATAGTAAGTCTTAAATTAGTTTAAAGTAGAAAGGAGAACATGTTTGAGTTAATTACCCTCCCATGTGTGCTTTTTCATATGAAGGAAGAAACTCTTAGACTTTCCTTCACTCAAAAAAAAAATTAAATAATTCACTTATATAAAGAATATAATTATTAAAATCTTATAGTCAAGTCTGTTTAGAATGACACTACTCGCACTTTCAAAGAATAGTACTATGACAGCTAGTTGCCGCAATATTACTTTTTCTGAGCCGAAGGTCTATCGAAAACAACCTCTCTATTTTCACAAAGAATAATACTATGACAGCTAGTTGCCGCATTATTGCTTTTTCTGAGCCGAGAGTCTATCGAAAACAGTCTCTCTACCTTCACAAGGTAGGAGTAAGGTTGCGTAAACACTACCCCTCAGACCTCATTTGTGGGGTTGCACAAGTGGGGTAAGGTTGTTTTTTCTGAGCCGAGGGTCTATCAGTATGGTTTGTTTTTTTTGTCGTTGTTATAACGGTGACGACCGTACAACTTGCACACACCTGATATTCTATCGAATACCTGCTACCTCCCTCTAACTAGTAATTAGATTTTCATCAACTCTACTTCCATATCATAACTAGATTGGTACATAACCACACTCCAGCCTTGATAAATCACATCTTAAAGAGAAAGGGACATTTGTCAATACCTCTAATAAGCAAATATCATAGCAGCAAAATACACCAACTTGGCAGCTGTTTATTTTTATTATGCTGACTCAATCAAGCATAAGCATATGTTTAAGACAATACAGTAACTTGAATATTGTCTAAACCTCCAAAAGATAGTTCATGAGCATTTGGGATGAGGCCTATGAGGTTGCACCAAAGACCCTGATCCTCTGTTCAATTGGAACGCCGCAGCACGGACATTTAGCCCTACCCTTCTTCCCTTTGTCATTGCAGTTCGCACACATAACTTGATGAGCGCAAGGTAGGAAGACAATTGAAACTTCATCCTTCTTGCAAATTAAACACTCCCTATCGGAGCTATCCTTCTCGGAAGAATTCTCCAATCTGTCCAACTCATGTAACATCCTTGCAATATCAGCGTGGGGCTGTTCACCGTTAGAGTTACCTGTTACTAAATTAGCAGACTGATTCTGCAGCTCAGTAGACGCTTTAAGCCGAGAAAGATCCTGTTCAAGCCGTTGGAGGTCATCCTTGTGCCGCTGGAAGTCTATTTCTATCTTCAGCCGCAACGCCTCAAGCTTTCTTTTGTTAGTAGCCTCGGCTGCTTCTTTGAGACGTTGTTCTTCCTCTACTTGTGCCACGGCTTGCTCCTTAGCCTTCTGTTCCTGCCTCCACTTTGCCTAATAAAAATTGACGACATAACGTATTGACAAATTTTGGGCAATTAAAGAAACTTGCTATTGTTCAACAATTAAAGGAATACAGTGGCAAGAATTCAGGCAAAATGAAAATGAATCAAAGCACATTTCTTTTCATCCTATTTCCTTTCTTCAGATAAGAATGGATACCTATGCTTTTAAATGTTTCTGAACATGAATGAACGAATGAGGCTTTCAAAAACAATTAGGCATATCCACTCTTACAAAATAAAACTGAGTTTGTCGGTTGATGGTGTTGAAAGAAACTGAAGCTTCTGGTGTAAAACACCATATTTTTATTCTTCAGTTTCATTGTGATAAATAGCTATAGCTTACAATTTACTGTCGGAAAAAAGGAAAACATAAGGTTTCTGATGATCTGCAGAATTCATTGAATACAGCTTCATTAGAAGTTTAGAACTTCAGAAGATAATTTCAGGAAGTCTACCACACACAAGTAAAACTATCTTGTCTTTGGGAGATGAATTGAAAAGATTTGTCACGAAACAGGAGAATAGCTATTTATTTGTCTATATCAGTTTACAATATCAATCAAGAAGCGGATGCCTTGGAACAACTGTAAAATTGCCTCCATGTGACCTGTAAGTCACGAATTTGAGCCATAGAATCCGCCACTAGCGTTTGTGTTAGGGTAGGCTGCTTACATCACAACTCTTGGAGTGCAACCTTTCCCGGACCCTGCATGAACGCGGGATACCTTGTACACCGGACTGTCCTTTTTAGCAACAACTACGCCTCAATTCCAACTAGTTTGGGTCCACATGGATACAACAAGGTGACTTCACGATCACCCATTCTAGCAGTAATCTTGTCAAGCACGCATGCGTCAATCTCAACCAGTTGGGGTCAGCAAGTTATACAACACAAGGACTTCCCTGGAAATCACCCATCCTAGTACTATCTCGTCCAAGCATGCTTAAGTTTGGTGTTCTAATGGGAAGTGGTGGTATGATTGCATTCCTCACATAATTTTCTCTTTTTATAACTGTGGTGCTCGGGCCAGCTTGCGCGCACCTCAACTAATTCCACATGATACCTGTTACTCCCACCAACAACAGATACCAGGTAACTCTATCCACCAAATAGATGAAAAGAAATCAACTAGTATTTTTTGTCTGCACTGGGAACTGAACCTGAAACCTCATAGTTCTAACCCATTTCATTGACCACTAGGTCACACCCTTGGGTGCAAAGTTCACATAATTTTAGACCTTTTTCGTAAATATATAATAAGTCTAATTTTAAGCGGGATGTCAACCTACCACAATCCTCTCCCTTTATCCAAACTTAGAACTAGCTATGGTTGGACACGGGCAAAAGTGGTTTGGGGTACTCTAAGAGTTAAGATAATTGTGACTTAGGACTGGTTATGGTTTGCAAAGGCCACATAGGGAGAGATTTCACAACGAAAATACAACTCCTTTATCAACAAGCAAGTGAGAGAGAAAAAGAAATATAAGATCCAAAATACAACTTAATACATGACACATCTTCTCTCAACAAGCTAAATTCTGATGTAATGTCTATATATTCTAACCATTCTGGGACCTCGTGAACCCAGTAGACAAAAGTTTTCTACGGACGAACGGAAATATCTGAGGCCAGAACAAAAAATGCTTACAATAATGACTTAAGCCTTTATGAAGCACCAACTGTATGCACCTAATAACTAACTTGGATGTAAAGAGGGCATCCTAACATGAGAAGGACACAAGAATATTAAACTGATTCTCATTGAGTGATGTAAAATGTCGAACGGATTTGTTTGCATTTCCATTGCAAGATCACCAATAACAAGTAAACACCAAGGGAAAAAAGAGAAGAAAGAGCAAACCTCAGCTTCCTTTTGAGCTGCCTCTACCTGAACCAGCTGCTTTTGTACATCTGAAATCTTTTGTTTCTCCGCTGCAATATCCTCCTGCAGCTTCTTTTTCTGTTTCTCCCAAACTCCAAGCTTCTTAATGCACTTCTTCTCTCTCTTAGCAGCCTCCATACATGTTTTTGCAGATTCTGATGCGCTTAACTTAGAAGCCTCCATCTCTGCCCTGATTTCTGCATTCTCATTCTCAAGCTTTTTCACAGCCAAGTTTGCACGGTCAACTTGGCCGCTGGCTTTTCTTAGAGCATTCTCCATCTCTGTTAGCCTCTTCAAGGTAGTATCTTCGACAGCCTGTTTACCCTTCTTTAATCTTTGGGTATCCTCTCTTTCCATCCTCAACGTCTTAAGCTCCGTCAAGTCATTGCTAAGCTTCCTTGCGGCTTGCATTGCTTTTTGGTGCGCCCAATCTTTCCGTTCCTTGACCTGCTTCTCAAGATCCTTTATTTGATCGATCAAACTTAGAATCATCTCGTCTTTCTGGTCCAGCTGTCCATTTCCCTTCTCTGTATTCCCATCAAGATTCAAATCACGAAACTTACCTACGACAGAGTTAACCACGTCTTGGCTTTTCAAAGCTTGGGAGTCCCCCGACTGTGCAAGTCCACTTTCAACCCCTGATTCACTTCCACATGATTGATCCCCATCAGCCAAAGAACTAGGACAAGCCTGTGACTGATTCTGCATATATTTCGGGTTTGACCTAAATCCCGCAGCAAATGCAGCTACATTCCTCTTCAGCAAAGTTTTCATCGAAGGAGTAAGATTAAACCTCTTCGGACACTCAATCTCTTTTTGTGAATTAGAATCCGAGGCAGTATACGCAAATGACCTATTCAACGGAAACGCATTATTAGCACCGCCACTCCCAAAACCCCAACCACCATGAAATCTACACATAGCGGGCACAACCCCAACAGGACCCATGCCAACACCCTCAACATTACCACTCCCACTCACCGACCCATTAACACAACCATTCCCATTACTTGGAGCAGGAATTTCCATCACGCTCGCCCGTCCTACATGAAGATCACTCATTAACAAACACCACATTGCGTCCCCTTTACTCAAATGCGGCTTAACTTGCTGCAACAAACAAACCATACCTGCCAACGAATATTCCTCCAACTGCCTCAAATCAACAAAACAATGCTCCGAATCCTCCAATTTCGAAACACTACTCCCGTTATTTAAATACGACAATGAGTTGTGCAATATATTAGTCAAAACATCCATTCCACCATAACAATGTCCATTTTTCAATATAGCTTTCATAGCCACATCTTCATCATAACCTAACCCAATAAGCTTATTAATAGCTTCACTATACAAAATCTCCAAATTTTGTAACAAGATTTCTTCTAATTGCTCCTCAGTACAGTAACCCCAACCACTCTCATCACCCCCATCTGCATTGGGCTTAATTGGGCCCAATGGGCTAAGCCCAGATTCAGAAAATACAGCATTACCGTTACTGATGTTATGGGTATTATGATCATGTTCAGTTTTTACTGATCTTGGTCTTCTATTGGTTCTTGTATACTTCTCTTTAGAACCCATTTTTCGGAAATTTCAAGAACTACACTCAAATCCAAAATGAACCTGAAAAAAAAAGGAAAACACAAGGGTAAAACAGATTGAAATTTTCAGGATTTTTTTTAATCAATTGATAGATTTTTTATGAATTTAGATAATCGGGTATACTTTTCTTTAAAACCCAGTTGAGAATTTCATTAGATATACTAAAATTTAAACTGAAACCCCAAAACGGAAAACACAAAACTTAAATAAATAAATAAAAGATCGAATTTTTAAAGGTTTTTTTTGTTATAAAATTGATGGAATTCATATGAAATAAGACAATCGAACTGCGTATAGACTTACAGGTTAGTGATTATCGCCTTGTTTTGATGATTGTTTTTCTGGGCGTTAAAGTTGCAGGTAAGAAGGTGAAGGATACAATGGATGTCATACGGCATATATTTGGAAGGTTATATGGGTTTGATGTCATGGGCTGGAGCTATTAATGGGTCGGGTTTGGAAAAATTGTGTGTAATTGTATACAAGAATATATATTTTCAAGAGTTTAAGAAAATTGTATTTTACGAAATTTTAAAATTTGGGAAAATACGTACTTACATTTGAGAAGGAATAAAAATAAAACAGGAAAAAGAGAATAATAAATGAAATAAAATGGCATTTGACGTGGCACTGATGTAGAGGTAATGTGATAACCAAGATTGATTCTGTATTTTTGCGTTATTAGACTCGCTTAAGACAAAATTAGCAGTTAGAAAACGCTCGCCAAATATAGATGTCTAACGACTTTTTGAAATAAAGTTGGAGGAGTAAAGTAGATATTATTCCTTTTAGATTAATGTGATTACCAAGATTGATTCTGTATTTTTAGAGAGTTATTAGACTCGCTTTAGACAAAATTAGCAGTTAGAAATGCGCGCCAAAAATAGATGTATAACGACTTTTTGAAACAAATTTTGAGGAGTAAAGTAGATATTATTCCTTTTAGATTAATGTGATTACCAAGATTGATTCTGTATTTTCAGAGAGTTATTAGACTCGCTTAAGACAAAATTAGCAGTTAGATAACGCGCGCCAAAAATAGATGTCTAACGACTTTTCGAAACAAAGTTGGAGGAGTAAAGTAGATATTATTCCTTTTAGATTAATGTGATTACCAAGATTGATTCTGTATTTTCAGAGAGTTATTAGACTCGCTTAAGACAAAATTAGCAGTTAGATAACGCGCGCCAAAAATAGATGTGTAACGACTTTTTGAAACAAATTTTGAGGAGTAAAGTAGATAATAGTCCTTTTAGATTAATGTGATTACCAAGATTGATTCTGTATTTTCAGAGAGTTATTAGACTCGCTTAAGACAAAATTAGCAGTTAAACTAAAAACGCGCGCCAAAAATAGATGTGTAACGACTTTTTGAAACAAATTTTGAGGAGTAAAGTAGATATTATTCCTTTTAGATTAATGTGATTACCAAGATTGATTCTGTATTTTCAGAGAGTTATTAGACTCGCTTAAGACAAAATTAGCAGTTAGAAAACGCGCGCCAAAAATAGATGTGTAACGACTTTTTGAAACAAAATTTAAGGAGTAAAGTAGATATTATTCCTTTTAGATTATGTACTTTGTTCCTTGAGATTGGAGTTTTAGTTTAATAATTGCAGTTTCATTTTGCATCATTCAAATTTAAGTTCAATTTTACCACAAAAAAAAAAAGATCTCATTTTTAAAACAGTCTTGATATTTTAGGATATTATTACACAAAAAACGCTACTAATATTTATACCAAAAACCTTTTTGAACGAATATCTGAAATCTCCGGTAAACCTTCATGATATGGTAATATGAGGCGAGTGATTTCTTTAGGTTGTGATCTTAAATGCATATGTTATATAGTTTTCGGCTAGCAAATACAGCTAACTTTAACCGGCTGGTTAGTTTTGTATTTTGCCTAATATGTAAAAAAAATTCAAGTGAGATTAATTGTAATAATAATTACTACGTCTCAATCACAATAGGTTAGAGCCGATATATGAATCTTTATTAATTATGTTACTCTACATAACTCATGTTAAATCAATATTATTCAAGAGTTTAAAACACTTGCAATTTACGAAATTTTTAAGTTAGAAAAAAATGTGTACTTACATTTGAAGAGGGAATGAAAATAAACAGGAAAAAAGAATGAACAAATAAAATAAAATGCCATTTGACATGGCACTGGTACGGCCATAATGTGATGGAAAGTGTATAAATATTTTTTTTTTTGCTTCCCACTCGGTGTCCGATACTTCCATTGGAGCCTGACTATATTCGGATTCGCGGGAAAGTGTATAAATATAATCTATAGCAAGATTGATTAATATTTTCAGGAAGTTATTAAACTCAGTAAAGATAAAATCAGAAGTTAAAAAATGCGCGCGAAATTTAGAGGTGTAACAGAATTTTAAAAATAAGTTTGGAGGAGTAAACTATACATTATCCCTTTTAGATTCTGTACTTTGTTCCTCGAGATTGGACTTTTAGTTTAATAATTGCAATTTCATTTTGCATAATTCAAATTTAAATTTAATTCTACCAAAAATTTTGTTTTCAAAACAATCATGATAATCTACGACAACAGATGAGAGTCGATATACTTTATTAATAGTGTTACTTTATAAAAATCATGTTATATCAATACTATTCAAGAGTCAAGATAATTGCAGTTTACGAAAAATTTAAATTAGGAAAAATACATACTTGCAGTTTGAAGAGGTAATGAAATTAAAATAGGAAAATGAAATGAATAAATAAAATAAAATAGCGTTTGACGTGGCACTAATATGTCGATAATGTGAAGAAAAGTGTATAAATACCATATATAACAAGATTGATTCTATATTTTCAGGGAGTTATTAGACTCACTTAAGACAAAATTAGCAGACAGAAAACGCGCGCAAATTTTAGATGTGTAACGACTTTTTGAAACAAATTTGGAGTAAAGTAGATATTATCCCTTTTTAGATTATATACTTTATTCCTCGAGATTAGAGTTTTAGTTTAATAATTGCAATTTCATTTTGCATAATTCAAAGTTAAGTTCAATTCTATCAAAAATCAGAGTCAATTACTCAAATGGTCACTCAACTATCTCGAATTATCTCCTAAAGTCACTTTTCTTTCGTTTGTAACAACAAAGTCACTAAACTATGTCTATTGCACTCAGAAGGTCACTCAACTAGATTTTTCAAAATTTGGATTGCTAAATACCTATTTTACCCTCTAAATTATAAATAATTATCTTCTTTTATTTTTTAAAACTTTTTAATATTATAATTTTCCCTTTTTAATTTATATTATGGACTTAACTATAGAATAAATAAATATTATTTACAAATTAAAAAAATAAAAATTATTTAAGCATCTATAATGTTGGAAACAAAATAATGAGCATAGTAAAAAATTAATTAGAATAATTTGTTTGTAATAATAATTTTAGTGTTAACAACAAAATTCAAAAATTTATTTACGCAATTCAGAATGAAAGAAAATAAAAGTTGTAAAATATATATTCCATGCATGTAATTTAAAAATAATTATTTAAATAAAAGTATTTTTATAATATACATTATATATTCTTGAAAATTATGCTCAAACATATTATATATATTCCATGCACGACTTAACATAGCATATTTTACCCTATACAGATAGTCCCCCTGCTTTCCGGTGACATATTGTGTCGTCAGAAAGTTGGTAGAAACATAATAATATAATTGAGCATAATTTTCAAGAATATATAATGTATATTATAAAAATACCTTTATTTAAATAATTATTTTTATATTACGTGCATGGAATATATATTTTACGGCCTTTATTTTCTTTCATTCTGACTTGTGTAAATAAATTTTTGAACTTTTGTTGTTAATACTAAAATTATTATTACTAACAATTATTCTAATTAATATTTTTTTACTATGCTCATTATTTTGTTATTCCAGCATTAATATTCTTAAATATATATTTTTAATTTATAAATAATATTTATTTGTTCTATAGGTAAGTCTATAATATAAATTAAAAAGGGAAAATCGTTATATTAAAAAGTTTAAAAACAATAAAAAGAAGATAAATGTTTATAATTTAGAGGGTAAAATAGATATTTGGCAATCCAAATTTTTGAAAATCTACTTGAGTGACCTTCTGAGTGCAATAGGCATAGTTCAGTGACTTTGTTGTTACAAACGAAAGTAAAGTGACTTTAGGAGATAATTTGGGATAGTTGAGTGACCATTTCATGTCAACATTCTGATTTTGGAAAAATGACACTTTTCTATTTTGACAAAAAAAATATAAAAAAAAAATTGGTAATTGTATGTTGATTTATTTGGGGAAAACTGAAAAGATACAAATACAAAGCATTGTGATTTTTGTTATAAATATATTATATTATGGATGTTCATACTCCGTTTGTAAATAAGCTTCCTGAAGAAGTTTATCCATATGGGGCTCCGCCGTAAATATGTTTATCTATTTAGTACTCTATTGGAAATAAGCCTCCTGAAGAAGTTTATCACTTTGGTACCCAGTTATGGATAAACATTACTTCCGGTAGAAGATTATTCATACCGGGTATAATAAGCTTGTCCTTTCAGTACTCCGTTATGGATAAACATTACTCTTAGTATAAGATTATCCATATCTGGTATAGTAGCAGCTTACACAGCAGCTTGTAGTAGCTTACAGAGCAGCTTGCAGTAGCAGCTTACACAGCAGCTTCCTTTCTTCTATAAATAGAAGAGATCTCAGTTCATTATGTACATCTGTTTGAATTCGAATAATATATCAGTTTCTCTCTATACTTGTCTTTACTTTACAGTCTTTATTTTATAACACGTTATCAGCACGAGACTCTGCCATCTCGAGCAAATACTTTGAAAGTATCTGAGGTACGAACTTTCTTTTTCTATAAAATGTCAAATCTTTCTAAACTTGAATTTGTAGCCCTGGATATATCGGGCAAATGCTACATGTCTTGGGTGCTTGATGCTGAAATTCATCTTAATGCGATGGGTCTGGCAGACACCATCAAAGACAAAAATGAGGCATCAAACCAAGACCGTGCCAAAGCAATGATATTCCTACGCCATCACCTTGATGAGGGCCTGAAAATGGAATATCTTACTACTAAAGATCCAGTCATACTATGGAATGATTTGAAAGATAGATATGACCACCTGAAGATGGTCGTTCTTCCACAGGCACGATATGATTGGACTCATTTAAGGCTACAAGATTTTAAATCTATCAGTGAGTATAATTCTGCTATGTTCAGAATTATTTCCCAATTGAAATTATGTGGTGATAATATTACTGATCATGATATGTTGGAGAAAACTTTCACCACTTTCCATGCCTCGAATATGCTCCTGCAGCAGCAATATCGAGAGACGGGATTTAAAAAGTATTCTGAACTTATCTCACATCTTCTTATAGCCGAGCAACATAATGGGTTATTAATGAAAAACCATGAAAGCCGACCTACTGGTTCTTGTCCATTCCCTGAAGTGAATGAGACGAACTTCCACCAAGCTAAATGTGGAAGAGGTCGTGGCCCCAGTCGTGGTCATGGTCGTGGTCGGGGAAGAAATCCCAATCATGGTAATAATAATGCACCAAAGAACCCTCCTCGCCACCAGCAATGAAAAAGGAAGGAACAAAAGCATGAAGCGGTGCAAGCACCAAATGCAGAAAGTGCATGCTATAGATGTGGAGGAAAAGGGCACTGGTCACGTACCTGCCGTACGCCAAAGCACCTGGTTGAGCTTTATCAAGCCTTCCTGAAGAAGACAGAGAAAAATGCTGAAGCAAATTTTATTTCTGAAGATAATTTAGACTTCATGCATTTGGATATAGCTGATTACTTTGCACTCCCAGAAGGAGAAACAAGTCATGTAATCGGTGGTAAATCTGCAGAAATGTAAATATTTTAATTTTTGTTGTTTGTAATAGATATTATGGTTATGTAATTGTTGTACAAAAATAAAAGTTATGCTTTGATAATGATGTTTTCTATAATATATTTTATTTTGAAGAATATGGATAATCCTCAAATTATGTTTGGATCAAAGACAAATCATGAAGATATTTGTGTTATTGATAGTGGAACAACTCATGCCATATTCAAGGATCGGAAATATTTTTCTTAATTGCATAAGGAAAAAGCAAATATTTCAACAATTTCTGGTAATATAAGTTTCATTGAAGGCTCCGGAAGAGCCATTATATTTCTGTCTAAGGGAACAAAACTTATTATAGACAATGCATTCTCCTCCAAGTCCCGAAAAACTTGTTGAGTTTTATAGATATCCGCCGAAATGGGTATTATATTGAGACAATAGATGAAATGAATATGGAATATCTTTGTATTACAAGGAATGTTTCTGGCCAAAAATGCATTATAGAAAAGTTACCAACTTTATCTTCTGGCTTACACTATTCAAAAATTAGTACAGTTGAAGCACACTCTATCGTAAACCAGAAGTTTACGGATTCAAATACTTTTATGCTTTGGCATGGCCGTTTGGGCCATTCTGGATCAATAATGATGAGACGAATTACTGAAAATTTGAGTGGGCATCCATTAAAGAACCTGAAGATTCTTACAAATGACGAATTTTCTTGTGATGCTTGTTATCAAGGCAAAATGATCACTAGACCATCACCAATGAAGGTTAGCATTGAATCCCCTGCCTTTTTAGAGCATATACATGGGGATATATGTGGACCTATTCACCCGTCAAGTGGGTTGTTTCGATATTTTATGGTCCTAATAGATGCATCTTCAAGATGGTCTCATATGTGCCTACTATCATCTCGCAACCTGGCGTTTGCAAAGATATTAGCCCAAATAATTCGATTAAGGGCACAATTCCCAGATTATCCTATTAAGGCTATTCGCCTTGATAATGTTGGAGAATTCTCATCTCAAGCTTTTGATGATTATTGTCTATCAGCTGGGATAAAAATTGAACATCCTGTAGCTTATGTTCATACTCAAAATGGCCTTGCAGAGTCATTTATTAAACGCCTGCAATTGATACCAAGACAACTACTTATGAAAATAAAATTGCCCACTACTGTTTGGGGCCATGCTATCTTGCATGCAGCATCACTTATCCGTCTCAGACCGACACATTATAATAAATATTCTCCGTCACAATTAGTTTTTGGTCATGAACCAAATATTGCCCATCTACGAATTTTCGGATGTGCTGTATATGTGCCAGTAGCACCACAACAGCGCAGTAAGATGGGACCACAAAGAAGGATAGGAATATATACTGGGTTTGAATCACCCTCTATTATTCGTTATCTTGAACCATTGACAGGAGATTTATTTACTGCTCGATTTGCAGATTGTCGGTTTGATGAAATAAATTTCCCACAATTAGGGGAGAGGAAAAGGAAATCAAAAGAGAAATTGTGTGGAAAGTTTCATCATTATCTCACTTTGATCCATGTACCCCTATATGTAATCAGTAGGTCCAGAAGATCATCCATTTACAGAATATAGCAAATCAAATGCCAGACGCATTTACTGATTTGAAAAGGATAACTAAGTCACATATCCCTCCAGAGAATGTGCCTATCCGAATTGATGTCCCAGTAGCACCATCTACTAGCATGAGAGCTAGTGAACCTAAAGCACGCCTGAAGCGTGGTTGGCCTTTAGGTTCTAAGGATCGAAATCCTTGAAAAAGAAAATCGAAAAATGATCAAAACGATACTATGAAGGGATCTCCTGAAGAGACCCAAAATCTGATTAATTCTGAGATTCCTGAAGAAATCAATGAACCTGAAGCTCATGTGAGTGAGGAACTTTTAATAAGTTCGACCAGTGATGGGATTAATTTAAATCGATCTGAAATAGTGGTGGATAATATTTTTTGCATATAATGTTGCACTTGATATTATGCAAGATAGTAAGGATCTTGAACCTCGATCTGTCGAAGAATGTCGACAAAGATCTGATTTGCCAAAATGGCAAGAGGAAATTCAATCGGAACTAAAGTCACTTGCTAAAAGAGAGGTCTTTTGACCAGTAGTCCAAACACCTGCTGGTATAAAACCAGTTGGTCATTAATGGGTTTTTGTGCGGAAAAGGAATGATAAAAATGAAGTTGAAAGATACAAAGCTCGCCTTGTTGCACAAGGATTCTCACAACGACCTGGAGTCGATTTTGATGAAACATATTCAGCTGTTATGGATGCTATAACATTTCGATATCTCATCAGTTTAGCACTACATGAAAAGCTTGAAATACATCTAATGGATGTAGTTACAGCTTATCTGTACAGTTCACTTGATAATGAAATTTATATGAAAATTTCTGAAGGATTTAAAATGCCTGAAGTGAATTCAAAATCTCAGGAAATGTATTCAATTAGATTACAAAGATCTTTGTACGGTTTAAAGCAGTCTGGGCGCATGTGGTATAATCTCCTCAGTGAATATTTGCTGAAAGAAGGTTACATAAATGATGTTATTGGTCCATGTATTTTTATAAAGAAAATGGCATCAGAATTTGTTATACTTGCTATTTATGTTGATGATATAAATCTTGTTGGAACTCCAGAAGAGCTCCAAAAGGCAATTGAATATCTTAAGAAAGAATTTGAGATAAAAGATCTTGGAAAGACAAAACTTTGTCTTGGTCTGCAAATTGAACATTTAGCAGACGGGATCTTTATCCATCAATCTGCATATACAGAAAGGATCTTAAAACGCTTTTACGTGGACAAAGCGCACCCATTGAGTACACCAATGGTTGTTCGATCACTTGAAGTGAATAAAGATTTGTTCCGACCTCCAGAAGAGGATGAGGAACTCCTTGGTCCCGAAGTACCCTATCTCAGTGCAATTGGTGCACTAATATATCTTGCTAATGCTACAAGGCCTGACATAGCATTTTCTGTTAATTTACTAGCAAGATACAGTTCTTCTCCTACACGAAGACATTGGAACGAGATTAAGCATATACTGCGATATTTAAAGGGAACTCTTGATATGGGTTTGTTTTATGCTAACAAAGATAGTGCACATCTTGTTGGTTATGCAGATGCATGCTATTTATCTGATCCCCATAAAGCTCGATCTCAAACCGGGTACGTGTTTACATATGGAGGTACTGTCATATCATGGCGCTCCACAAAGCAATCTATTATTGCTACTTCTTCAAATCATGCTGAGATAATAGCTATTCATGAAGCAAGTAGGGAATGTGTATGGTTGAGATCAATAATTTATTTTATTCGAGAAAAATGTGGTTTGGAATGTGAGAAAAGACCCACAATTTTATACGAAGATAATGCTGCGTGCATAGCTCAATTGAAGGGAGGATTTATAAAAGGAGACAGAACGAAGCACATTTCACCAAAATTATTCTACACACACGACCTTCAGAAAAATGGTGACATTGATGTGCAACAAATCCGTTCAAGTGATAATCCAGCATATTTATTCACTAAATCTTTGCCAACTTCAACTTTTGAGAAGATGGTATACAAGACTGGAATGCGGAGACTCAAATATTTGAAACAAGGTTTTCATCAGGGGGAGTAAAATACGCTGATGCACTCTTTTTTTCTTACTGAGATTTTTTCCCATAGGGTTTTCCTTATAAGGTTTTTAATGAGGCACCTAGCAATGCGTATTACTAAATATGTGTACTCATTTTCCTTCACTAGGATTTTTTTTCCCACGTGATTTTTCCTAGTAAGGTTTTAATGAGGCACATTATCTTTTAATGAACATCCAAGGGGGAGTGTTATAAATATATTATATTATGGATGTTCATACTCCGTTGTAAATAAGCTTCCTGAAGAAGTTTATCCATATGGGGCTCCGCCGTAAATATGTTTATCTATTTAGTACTCTATTGGAAATAAGCCTCCTAAAGAAGCTTATCACTTCGGTACCCGGTTATGAATAAACATTACTTCCGGTAGAAGATTATCCATACCGGGTATAATAAGCTTATCCTTTCAGTACTCCGTTATGGATAAACATTACTCTTAGTATAAGATTATCCATATCTGGTATAGTAGCAGCTTACACAGCAGCTTGCAGTAGCAGCTTACACAGCAGCTTCCTTTCTTCTATAAATAAAAGAGATCTCAGTTCATTATGTACATCAGTTTGAATTCGAATAATATATCAGTTTCTCTCTATACTTGTCTTTACTTTACCATCTTTATTTTATAACAATTTTGATAATTATTAAGATATCTTTCTTGGCTTCAATGATTTGAAGGCCAAAACATTTGTTAAATGTTTTAATCCTTTTCTACTTTGCTCAATTCTCAACCTTAATTAATTCATCAATTCCCCACCAAGAGATAAATGGTCAAACTAGTTATTGCTCACAGTGACTTTTTACTATTTTTGTGAATTATTTCTAATTAACAATTAAAAGGTAGAATACTTCACAAAAATGATTAGGATCCGTAATTTTCAATTTTTTTTAAAGGGAGTAGATTAATAAAATAAAATAAAATGGCATTTGACATGGCATTGATGTGGCGATAATGTGATTAGCAAGATTGATTCTATATTTCGCGGAGTTATATATATTAGGCTCGCTTAAGGCAAAACTAACAGTTAGAAAATACGTGCAAAATTTTGATGTGTAACTGAATTTTTAAAATAAATTTGGAGGAGTAAAGTGTATGTTATCCCTTTTAGATTATGTACTTTATCCCTTGAGGTTGGAGTTTTAGTTTAATAATTGTAGTTTCATTTTGCATATTCAAATTTAAGTTCAATTCTACCCAAAATATCGTTTGTAAAACAATCTTGATAATCTAGAAAATTATTACACAAAAAATGCTACTATATTTATACAAAAAACCTTTTTCAACCAACCTCTGAAATCTCCAGTAAACCTTCATATATGGTAATACGAGGCAAGTGATTTCATTAGGTTACCATTTTAAATAGGATTTTTTTTTTAATAAATAGACGAGGTAGAAAATCTTCTTTACAAATAGCCCCACTTCAAGAAAATACAATTAAAAATATTTAAATATGTATTTTGTCAAGCATACTTATATTTCATGTCAACAGACTTTTGAAAAATGGCACTTTGCTTTTCTAACCCAAAAAAAAAAAAATGGTAAATCGTATGTTAATTTATTTTGGGGAAAACTGAAAAGCTACATTTTTCTCCTTTATGGTCTACTTATTTCTAAGAGAAAATTTCACAAGTATTGTGACTATGAATAATTATCAAAATATATTTCTTAATATGAAGGCCAAAATATTAGTTAAATGTTTTAAACCTTTTCTACTTTCCATAATTCATCAATTCTCAACCAAGATATTAATAGTCAAACAAGTTATTTGTTGATAGTGACTTTTTAATTACTATTTTTTATGGATTATTTCTAATTAACAACTAAAAGGTAGAATACTTAACAAAATAGATTAGCATCCGTAATTTCCACATGGAATATCCGAGGCAAGGATTTTCTGTTTTGTGGAGTCAACTCGACCCCAGAGCGGAACCCATATATATTTTTTTTTGGTTTCCCACCCGGTGTCCGGTACCCGTATTGGAGTCCGACTATATCCGGAAGAATTTTCTATTTTGTGGAGTCAACTCGACCCCAGAGCGGAACCCATATATATATTTTTTTGGTTTCCCACCCGGTGTCCGGTACCCGCATTGGAGCCCGACTATATCCGGATTCGCGCCGTGTAGGACCCCATTCGGGGTGAAGTGCTCCCTATAAAGGATTTTTTCATACCCAGGGCTCGAACCCGAGACCTCTGATTAAGGGAAGAGCAGTCTCATCCACTGCACCACATCCTTTGGTGGTAGCGGAACCCATATATAAATTAGTGTTCAAAAGGCAATAGATTAATATCGATTCATCAAGAGAGAAATTACTGGATAATTATTCTTCAGCTTGTAAAAATTTACGCAGACTCAGTATCGATACCAAATTAATAAATACTTTATACATACATCTACTTATTATCACTTTAATTAATAACTGTTAAAATATTAAATTATTTGATTTAGTGTAATTATATAAACACCAGATACGAGTAAATAATTACACCTCGCTAATCCTTTGGAGGTTGAACATACTCATTACCCACCTAAACTTAGTACAATTAATTTAATGCACAGCTAAACTATTTATAGGGTAAATACTTATCTACATCGGGTGTTTATACCAAATTATATTAACTCACTATGGTTAATTAATTTAATTAGATGAGAATGCATGTAATTTACTATGGTTAAATGATTGAAGTCCATATGCAAGACACATGTTATATATCTATTGTTTTGGTGTAAACACCCGGTGCGGGTAAGTTTTTACCCTATTTATAGTTATAATTAGAGATCATTAGGCTATTTTTGAATTCACTATATTTACTTTTTTTTAATCGTTATATATTAATTATATATAATTATACATGGATTATACACTTGGCATGTCCACTAATTATTTTCACGGCTTGAACTCGTGAATGCTGGTCACGTGAGAGCAACTTTACGTATTACACAAGATACCTTCACTTTTGAGAGATATATTTAACAAAAAAACACCCAACTGCCCATTATTTTCCATCATTTCTCATCTTCTTTGCTCACAAGCAAAAAAGCCATGGCTACACAAATCAAGAAACCATCACCTGCTTGTGCAAAAATAATAGAAGAAATTACAAAAATTTACAAATCATTACCAACAAGACCATCAATAGTAGAAGTTGAAGCAGCAAATTCTGTACTAAAATCAGTAGAAACTGAAGAAGAAATTAAACTTGAAGAAATATCCAAGAAAGTAGAACCACAAGATGTTCCAATAGAATTATACTCAGTATTACAACAAGTGAGAAAATCCATAGTTTTGTTTCAAAGTCAAGAACAAAAGAAAGAGTCAATTCAGTTAATTGAACTTGAAAAGACTTATCAGAATTTTGATGAACTTATTCAGAAGGCTTCTGAGTTGGTTTCTGTTGAGGACTCAATTGGTGAAATTGAAGAAAAAATTGTGGTCAGTGATGAAAAGAGTGATAGTTTGAGGGGGTTGGTTACAATTTCTGAAAATACTGCTGTTTCCTCTTCAGGTTTGGATATTTTTCCATTTATTGTTTGTCCAAGATTTCAACTTTTTGGTTTTAGTTATTTGTACTTTTTTCTGCTGCTATATGCTTGAATTTAAAGCTAAAACTAGTATGAATTGACAGAACTATGAATCCAACATCTTGTCAAACATATAGTTGCTCTCTCCTTCTTTCCCTTTTTCTTTTATGATAATAGTGTCATTCAGACCAGTTTGTACGCACCTCAATTGTTCCACATGGTAACTATGTCTTACTAACACGAGTACCGGATAACTCGATGTCTTTGTCCACCGAGGTGTAAGTAGATAGGAGAAATCACATACTCCCTCCGTCCCAATTTATGTGGCGGTATTTTAACTCAGCACGTAATTTAAGAAAAATAAAGACTTTTAAAACCTGTAGTCTAAAACAAACCATAGATAGTTGTGTGTCTGTAAATCATTTCATTAAGGGTAAATAGGAATTTGAAAGATAAATTATTCTAAATAAGGAAATGTGACATTTTTTTGGAAATTGCTAAAAAGGAAAGAGTGTCGCATAAATTAGGACGGAGGGAGTAATATTTTTTTGTCTATGTTGGGATTTGAACCCTAGTTTCTATAGTTAATTCCCCTTTTTAATTGACAGTGGTAGCTTGCTATGTACCTCGACTAATCTATTGAACCGCCGGAAATAGCCCATGAGCATAGGTGTAGGTAAATCTGTGCGCCAAAGTTGGAGCAGATAGGCTTATATTGAGTGTTGTAGCTGGGATTCGATTCTAGATTTGATCTTCTCTCTCTGCCCTCCAACAATAGTTAAACGAAAACAAAGAAAGAGCAAGTTACTTTTACAACCAACGACGACAACTACACTTCAATCCCAAGCAAGTTGGAGTCAGTTATATGAATCCTCACTAACCGTGTTGCTCTATTTAAGCTCATGTCAAACCAATATTATACAATAAGTACCAGAAGTTCTCTATTATCTTCACTGGCGTATAAATCTTGGACGAACTAAAAGACTTTTATGACTAGACAGCTAATATGAACTCCAAAACCTCGAACTTTAGCAATTTCTGGTATTTAGTTAAGCTATTAGAGAGTAAGCATGTGGAAGTTTTCAATTCCTATCTCGAGTACATGAAGCTTACACAAGTTTTAGATTATTATAGGGCAGGCCTTTTGAACTTTACGATAGGTTTGTGATTAGGGGCGGAGCTAGAGACCAAAGTTCGGGTCGGTCGAACGCAGTAACTTTGATCTAAACACTGTACAATATGCCTTAAGAATCCATTTAATATGTCGCTAACTTTTTGATTTAGAACCCAGTAACTTAGAAAGGCTAAAATCCTGAACTCATAAGCTTCAAATCCTGGCTCCACCTCTGTTTGTAATTCATACTATGCCCTAACTGTCGTATTATTTTGCCTATAGGGATCAAGCACGCAGAGAAGTACAGTTATTTGAAAGTGGCCGCGCTAATTGAAAACGCTGCGAAAACTGGAGCAAAGGCTATTGATCTTCACAACAAGTTAATGGACAAGATTGAATGGCTTCCTATGTCATTAGGAAAGTTAGTAAAAGTCACTGAACTAAACTTTTCTGATAACCAAATTATGGCTCTTCCCACTACAATTAGTAACCTTAAATCCTTAACGAAACTTGATCTTCACTCCAACCAAATTATAAACCTTCCTGATTCATTTTGTGAGCTGCTCAATTTGACTGATCTCGACCTCCATGCCAATAGGCTGAAATCGCTGCCATCCTCTTTCGGTGACTTAACGAATCTGATCAATCTTGATTTGGGTTCAAACCGGTTCACTCATTTGCCGGATCTTGTTGGGAACTTAACCTCATTGAAGAGACTAAACGTGGAAACGAATGAGCTCGAGGAACTTCCTTACACAATTGGATTTTGCTCTTCACTTGTAGAGTTGAGGTTGGATTTTAATAAGCTTAAAGCTCTTCCCGCAGCAGTGGGAATGCTCGAATCTTTGGAAATTCTTACGCTGCACATTAACAGAATTAAAGGATTACCAACAACGATGGGGAATCTCTCTCGCCTGAGGGAACTTGATGTTAGCTTCAATGAAGTTGAAAACGTACCTGAAACGTTTTGTTTTGCTACCAACTTGCAAAAGCTTAATCTTGCAAACAATTTCGCGGACTTGAGAACTTTGCCAAGATCAATCGGGAACCTTGAGAATCTTGAAGAGATCGATATCAGTAACAGTCAGATAAAAATACTGCCTGATTCCTTCAGATTCTTGTCAAAGTTGAAAACTTTTCGAGCTGACGAGACTCCACTGGAAGTACCCCCAAGGCAAATAATTAAGCTAGGGGCTCAGGTATATCTTAAGCTTAATATATACTCCTATCGATGAATTTTGGACTTGTCAGCAGATTCTTAATCAGTTCATTTTTTTCTTTTTCTTTTTTCTTGCAATCAGGCTGTTGTGGAGTACATGGCTGATTTTGTTGCCAAGAATGAATCTCAATCTCAGCGGCCAAAGAAAAGGAGAGGTTTCTTCCTCGGAATTGCCCATTGTTTTGGCACTGAGAGGAAGAGGCGGATCTAGGGCCGGTTCTATGGGTTCAACTGAATTTCGGGCGAACTATGTGTACATATGTGAAAAGCATTTAAATTGTATACATGTAACAAGATCACACTCGTTTTGAACCCACTGACTTTGCATCTTGGATTCGCCTAAGTAAGAGGTGTCGGATACCTTCAAGATTATCAAAGCAATCAGGTTTCATGACTTTAATGTATATATGTAAATAAAAAGTTTGTTCAAGATTGTAAGGCTATAGCTATATATTGCTTCATTTATTGTAGTGTACTATATGTACATATACACTGCAAACATGTAAATACTGTCTTTTAAGACTTGGACTGAGTGGAGATCTTTTTCTCAGTATAACATTGAGACCTGACTTGACTATAACATTGAGAAAAGTCAAAGTTAAGTATTGTTGTATCATGTTCGCTCAAAAAATGTTACACATCTTACGAGTACAAAACAATATAAATAAATCCCGGAATAATCATAGCAAATCATAATAATCCGTTGGACCAATTGAAAGACATGAAAATAAGAACTCACGATTAGGGGGAGAAGCATTAGAAACCTTTATTGATAATATTTGTTTGGTCTGCTTCTCCATGGAGAGGTTCAGAGCCTTACAATGGTATTTTCTCTTCCCATAAGAGGGGTATCTTTTCTCGTTTCTCTCTCCTCTCACTAGTGGTCGAGAAGCAGCCCCCTTTCTGGGGTTTCTTCTCTTGGTATTTATAGCTGTGAGCTTCGTGAGCTGGCGATAAGTGGCCGTAACCACGTTGAGATCTCGCCTTTTGTATTGGCGCGTAGGCCAGGGCCTTGTCGACCGAGCTAGAGGCGGGTTGAACGTTGTCAATCCTGAGTGTTCGTGCCGTTAATTAATCATGAATTAACTTAAGACGGGATTAGCCTCGTTAATTATCGTGGGATCAGATTTTGACCCATACATATCATATATAGGGGTGGAAAACAGGCGGGTCGGTCGGATATGAACGGGTCGAAAAGGGGTAATGCAAAAACTGATAAATTATCTAATCCGACCCATATTCAATACGGATAGAAAATGGATTAACCGACGGATAACTGTTATTTTTATCTGTTTTGTCACCACTAATCATATATGATGTAACAATTGAAGATTGAACATTACAGCACTTGAAATCTGATGAACCACTATAGCAGTATATCTTTATGTTCTAGATCCGCCCTTGCTTAGAGGTTTGACCTATTATGTTATTACAGTTTATACAAGAGTTTAACTTCTATGCATTGACAAAGTTTAATTATTTTACGTCACAAGGTTAAGTTACCTAAAACAACGGATAATTATTCATAACAAATCTAATATGGTAATCCATCGTAACAATTCAAAATACAAAGAATCTTTATATTGTCAACATATATAAGTTAAATATTTGTTTATTCCACTAGGGGCGCATCTAGTGGGTCGGTTACTGGTTCACATGAATTTAGTTATTATAGTAGAGTTCATTTTAGGTCGTTGTAGCGACTCATAAGCTTTAAATTTTGAATCCGCCAACCCTTGTGTTTAACACTTATGTATATTTCTTTAGATCAATTAAAAAATCTATGGATTGTTTACTTGGACTCATTGGAATTAATCTTGAGTCTTGACTAACCATATTTAATTTGTTATAGTAAATCCTATGGAGATTTAAGGTAAAATACAAACTCCGAATCTAATAGAGGTCATGGATGAGCGCAGGATCTGTTTTTATTTTTATTTATTTATTATTGTTTCCTATGGATATTTTACGTTGGACCAATTGGAATTCTTGATCAATCCTATTCACTGTTTTTTCAGTGACTTAAGAATAACTTAATTAAGTTGGTAACCTGCTTTTGGGAATGTTCTGGACCAGGCTTTATGTGGTCTAAATTATTTATTTAGACAATATTCTAACATTTAACTGTTGTTTAGTCAATCTCAACTAATTATTATATAGTAGGAAATATGAGGTGCTGGAGTATTATATATACTAATTTTAGGTACGAGCTTTGCGCGTGTACCCATGTAGTGAGTATAGAACTTTTTAAAAATCATGTAAATATTAATAAATACTATACTTTTGTTATAAAATAAAAATAAAAATGAAAATCCCTAAAAATAATGAATATTTATCCTATTTAGTTGGCTCGATAAATGAAAAAAATATGACTTATCAAATTGTCTTATTTTTTTCTTTGCCTCCCTCTATCGTTCTCTTCTATATTCTTAATTATTTGTTTGTTATTTGTTTTGCTTTTTAAGTATCATTTTAAAATATTATACAAAAACTTAATAAAGTGAAAAATATTATTTGAGCAGGTAATTAAAGAGTTTAAAGATAATATCAAGTGAACTACAGTTATTTTAAGATATAAAAAAATTATGCTCATGTTACAATATTCAAATAAGTAAATAATTTATTTAAGTTAAATTCTCGATTGCTGTTAAAATTCTAAATATCAAGACCTCCAACATAGTTCAGAGAAAGAAGGGTCCAAAAGGTAAAATATTGATGAATATATCACTTTTGAATATTTCTCTTTATCAATTCTATTTCACTTGCCAAATAGAGGTTAGGTAAAATTGGAGACACTCGTAAGATGTTTATAGATTTATGAGTGGGCTCATGTCTTTGGAAGCTTATGTCTCAAGCGTGCGACTGAACACTTGGTATGGGCTCACCGCCTTAAGCACGGGCTCGTCCCACAATTCTTGTGCCATCATGTGTAAAACTTTAAAGTTCATAAAAAAATTATTATTAATTATATGACTCGTTAAAAACTCTATTCATTAATTACATTTTAAGAGTTGAGAACACTAACATCGCGTCATGTAAATGGATTTCGTATAACCTTTCATATGAAAATTCTTCATGTTTTAACTTTTGTTAGGTCTCTTTGTTATTCAATTCATATACTTTTCTCCATTCTTTTAGTAATGAATTACAGTACTAAACTAATTGTTAACTTTTCTTTTGTAGCTTATTAGAAACACATAATGCTAAACTGCGTTATGTAATTGTTAATTATTAAGACTGAATTTCCAAAGAATCACTCTATAAAAAAATTTAACAAAAGAAAAAAATTAAAGATTCCTAAACATAAAAGGAATACAAACGGTTCGAAACTATCATAATGTGAGTTTGCATTCGTATTTTTAAGCTTGTTAGTTATGAAACATCCCTTTTTAATTAGTCTTTTTTCTCTTTGGATTTTTTTTAGTTTCTTTTCTCCTATGTGCCCTAGAACTAAGTTGAATTTGTAACGTATTTTTTTTGGTAATTATGATTTTGCAATATTTTTTAAAGCTTCTAAACCTAAAAATGTGGTTTTTACGTGTGCGTTATTACCTTCTTCTTCTTCTTCTTCTTTTTTTGGTTGCAAATATGGTATGTTATATAATTAAAATAAGAGAAATTCAATATAGAAATTTTAGTTGATTTAGAAATTCTAAATATTAGAAAATAATTAAAGTCCTTAATATTAGGAAAATTATTAAACAACTATGTCCTAAATATAATGAAAATAATCAAATGACTATTTTGTCCAGTATGAACACTATTTTAAAAGGGAAAAAAAGGCGAACGACATTTCGCTAAGGGGCTTCATGCTTTTAGTATAGTATATATATATATATATATATATATATATATATATATATATACCATCAGATGGGGTATCAATGGTTCAGTTCAGCCGGTTATTTTCTAAAATTTATACCATACTAATTTTGGTTATTCTATTATGTATAACCAATATTAGAATTTTCAAAATTGTCCCAATCATATCGGTTTCTCTTCGGTATCAGTACGGTTCGATTAATTTTCAGTTTTCTAATATCACGTAAAAGTCGCTAGTAAGTAGAATGCAATAACATACATACTTTTATAGGACTTAGCAAACTCTCTAAATAATTTTACTGTTTAAAGGGCGATGAATTAAGAAAAAAAATGAAAGATGGGCAAGGTATAGTGATCACGCCCAACTATACCTTATAAAAAGGACAAAGCGGTCGTTGAAAATATATTCCGGTTAACAAGTCCGGAGTCGAATCCCACAGGAAATTAGCCTATTAAACACATCTATTGGACTCACACAAATTCACGTATTCAATCTTCAGAAATATTTAAGTAATAAATTGGATGTTTACTAACTAAGTATTACGTAATAAAAATGCAATAATTAAGAAATAACTACGAACGGATTGTATACAAGAATTGGAATGATCTAAGGTTCTAATTTCCCCTATTGTCGGAATCCTTTCCGCTACGTTTCCTATATATTTGCCTAAGTCTTCTCTATTGATCATGAGCACTCTGACTGTCGTAACTCTCTCCCGAGTAATTACAACAATATACTAGACATATTATCCCGAATTACGCTAGCTGGCCTTAAGTACAGCTTACTTAGATCGCACTAAGGTTTCGTTATCCCTAATCCCACCTTTAAACCCTTCGTATTGATCCCTCATATACGTTAGGAGTGATGTTGTTCAACAACTACCTAAATATGCACTCTCTCTCCCGAGTAATACATACTAAATAGGAACAGTTAATTGAGGGCCCTTCAATCAACAGCAAAAAGCATATAGTTGAACAAATAGAGAGAATACTATAGCAAATCTATATTAACGTAACAAGAAAATCATCCTCTAATAGGTTCCATCAAAACCCTAGATTAGGAGTTTAGCTACTCATACTCATAGTAACAATATCCAAAATTAATTTGTATAATTAAATTACAAAGTAAGGATAAAGGGATGTAGAAATCGATGATTTAACTCCCAAGTAATGTTCCACGAGCTATCCTTGCCTCCGGTTGCAAAATTCCTTCAAAGTGGCATTTTTGGGTCTTTTTATATGTTTAGGACAAGACCTAAACGTGTAAGTCAAATCCTAGCCAAGCCGGGAAACGAATTAAGTCTTCAAAACTCGGACTGGACCTCGCCCTAGGCCTGGCGTCGCTAGCCTAACGCCAGCTTCAGCTTGGCTTTATCCTTGCAGCGCCAGCCTAACGTGTAACGACCCGACCGATCGTTTTGAGCTTTTGCATTTCGCTCGCCGGTTCTCGGGCATGACTAGCCCCGTGTGATGTACTATGACTTACGTAAGTCGCCGGTTTTGGTTTTCAGGATAATCAGAATGGATTTGGAAGAACAATTCTCAGTTTGAAGCTTCAAATTTGAAAGGTTTGACCAAGTTTTGACTTTTTAGTATTCGATCTCGGATTCGTATTTTTATGATTTGGTTAGCTCCATTAGGTGATTTTGAACTTGGGAGCGCGTCCGGAATGTATTTTGGAGGTTCGTGGTAGATTTAAGCTTGAATTGGCGAAATTGGAATTTTGGCATTTTC